ATCTAGTTTTACTAGTGCCCTAAACTATGCTTATTGTTTGTTCATACCGATAACTCCGAAATTTACAAATACCTCCGAAAATAACCATATGTATAACACTAGATTTTTGGAATTCTTACTAGTCCACAAACTTTAAATATAAATAGACAAAACAATTCCCGGAAATACTTTATACAAAAGACTAAATATTGAAAATTTACAAAAGAATGAAAATAGGAAAGAAAAATAGATTTTAAATAGACAGAATTAAATAAAAGTTTTTAGGAATTTTTTTGGATTCTTTTTTTAGTTTTTGAATTTTTGTTTTTTTTTAGGATTTTTAATTTTTGACATTTTTTGTATTTTCATCTTACGGTTTTTTTGGGTTTTTCAAAATTTCTATATATTTTTTACTCAAATGAGTAAACATTGTAATGCGGAATTCGAATAAAAAATCAATTAGTTTGGAATTCGCCCCCTTTTTCTCTTTCTATTTTTTCCTAGTTTCTTCTTATTTTATGCCAAATTATATCTCATTCGAAAAAGCTCTTCGAGCTAAATTGAAAGATATTAAAATCAACGACGCTGACTTAAGTGAACAAAGTTGTGATCGTTTATATTATTCACTTGAATTGGTACAAAAAGTTTTCCCAACGAGGATTTAACTTCAAAATTTTGGTGAAATTATCCGATCTAGCTAATCTTGATATCATTCAACCAAGATCGAAGAGCTGATTCGAAGACATATGATAAACTATATATTATGCATAAAAAGCTCAAAATGACAAGTAAACGGGAAAAAAGGGGGCGAATTCCAAACTTAACATAAAAAACTAATAGCTAATAAAGAAACTTTTGGCTCTTGTCCAGATTGCGCAAAGGTTTATATGTCCAAACAAATTATACGTAGAAATATACGTTAAAAAACATTCTGCATATGATAATAGAAGGCTCCAATTATTCAGAGTTATGGTACAGGGGTGTACGAGTTTCTTTTGGCGATTTTCGCCTTCTTTGGACTTTTGTTTTTTGCCAATATTTGGCGGAAGACAAAATTTTGAAGTATTTCATATTGATTGGAAGCATAACGTGTAAATGTAAGTTTGGACGCATAATCTGGGCAAAAGCCTTTTTTTGTAACTAATCATCTCATAATCAGTCTGAGCTAATTGGTGACATTTTAAAATCTTGACCAATTATAGCATATTTATCATTTAATTTTTTAAACTCTGGATGCATAATAATATTCAGTTGAGCACGACATGTTGGACATTTATCTTTGTTATTGCTACCCTTTTTAAACCAATCTACTATACATTCCTGATGGAAGAAGTGGTTGTAGTGTTTGTTGGGGTCTTTTTTATCTTTGCAATCAGTCATTTCAATACTCTCATCTTCTTCATATTTTTTTAGACAGATTGGACATTCTTTTTGATCCTTTGTTAGCGCATCGTTAAATACAATGCTCTTCCATTCTTTCTATATTAAAATTTACTTTTAACAATTCGATGTATTAAAATATTAAGTCATGAAAAACGTTTTTTTTTAATTTTAAATTTAATTTCTATTAAAATTAATGAGTATTAATTTTATATGTATCAATCCTTTTACATGATTTTTACAAATTAATGAACACATCGGTCTTATTTTTACTAAAGTTATGAAATTCTATAAGGATACATTTCCAACATAACGCTGCACAACGTAAATAACAAGGATGTAGAATTTTGATTCTAAAAATCGGAAAGCGGATTGGAAGAAAAATAAACAAACTACCATAATTAACCAAGAGCAGCTTGTCTCCTCTAATATCGCTACTTATCTCTATGGAAGGCGGGGGTGAAAAATCATCACTGATATATACTATTAGGCTCAACATGCGCAAAACGTATTACACGTTCAATATAAAATACCGCCAGATAATGCAGTACATTATGCGGCAGTACCTTAGCCTGTTTCCTTCTATAACTGCACTCGAGGATATATAATGATGTAAATCACTCAAAACCATAATTTTTAACCTCTAAAATTTTCTATGTTATTATAACCCCTTAACTTGAATCGGAATTTTTATTTATACTTTGAAATTTACTTGAGAAAAGTTATCAAGCTTACAATGCGATTCTGATTAATTTCTTGATTAATTTTATCTGTTTCCCCATTACAGTAATTGAAAATAACAGTAATTTTTGCCATATTGTTGCTAAGCATTTGATTAATTGCCAATTTTATTGGTTTTGACAATCCTTTTTGCTTTAATAATTTCTCAAACAATTTCTTATTCTAAAATAATTTAAATTAATATTTAAATTTATTAATATTACTGTAATGAAAATACCATTTTTTACAGTATAGCTTTACCTTCGACGTACTCTTGGTATATATTTATAAAAATGCAATCTACAAAGAAGTGATGTGCCCAGCCGCATTTTAAAAAGCTGAAGTTCGGAAAGTCTATCACCATTACTGAACCCAACTGTTAGACTTAATGAATAAAAATTTTGTAAAATTAAACCTCATTAATAGTAGAATAACCTTCTGAATTTTTTTCAACGTATTTAGTTATTATTTGTGCACATTCATTGTACATATGAAAAACATCTACAGGTGTCGTGCTATAATTAGTAATCAATTCCTCAGCTAATTTTTGTTTATCTTGAGACTCATTTACTGAACTTGAACTTGAAGATCCGACATCACGAAATCCACCGTTTCTTGAACTTGAAGCCCTACCACGTCCTCCACCATTTGAACTTGAAAGAAAAATTAGAATAAATGTTAGAAAGAGAAGAATGTTGAATAATTTTGACATTTCAGATGATTGAAACTCACTTCTGATTTCAACTAAAATTAATAACATGTTAATTTTAATGTGAATAAAACTGATATTTATAGCCTACACTATAAAATTTGATGTCATAAACTGGTTGGTCTAAAAACACAAAACTAATATATTCAGATAGAAGAAAACGTAGGCGAGAAAAGAGATCGTCAAGAGACGGTCGAGATCTTGGTCTTATGTCTAGATTCCAAGACTTTTTGAATATTTTTCGGTTTTGGTCTTGGGGTTAAGTCTTGTCTCGACTTTTTTGGGTGTTTAAAAATTACACCCCTAAAGACTGGTGCAATATGCAAAAAAGAACAGCAAATTTAATATTGAAAATTTACAAAAGAATGAAAATTGGAATAAATAGATTTTAAATTGATAGAATTAATTAAATGTTTTTTTGCAAATCTTTTTGGATTTTTGTGAAATTTTTCTTTTTAAGGATTTTTTGTGGTTTTTAAAAGTGTATGGATTTTTTGTTTTAATTTTTTTATTTTTTAGGGTTTTTAATAGAGTTAAAACCCAAGCAGTGGCCGGGTTTTGCGGGTTTGGTAGTCCGAAACCTGGTATTTTAATGAAATCCGGTTTTTACGAGTTTTCCCCTGACGGAATATCAGGGTTATTATAATGGATCCTCGGTCCCTGAATGGTAAGTTCGATATCGAAGGATTAAAGAAATTTTAGATGATATAGATAGCGGATTACGTCAACTCACTAATTCTTACTGATGTCTTTTGAAATACCTCTTAATACTCAAGTCACCTTATAATACCAAATTAACAATTAAATCACAAGATTGGAGATTGCGGTAAATTGCGTGTTTTTTTGACATGCGGGTTGAGGAGTTTTTCGGATTTTAAAATTCAAATTGCGGATGGGGAAAATTCTTTTAAAATTGCGCGCAGCCCTCCCTCAATATCAAACAAAATTATTTTAAGGATTAGGCAATACATTACGATTTTAGTGATTGTTGCGCTATAAAAATACAAAATGATAGAATGTTCAAAAAGAAGAAAACCTTAAATACATTAAAAAAAGTAGGCGGACAAAGGCATTCACACTATTCCAAATTTCACAAGAATTCACAAAACTGATGTTTGTGTTGCTAATCACATTTTTTTATTATTTTTTAAAAAATATTAAGTAAATTAAATCAATGAATATTGTACCCGTTACTCAAAGAAATCGGCAATCCTGTAACAATTTTAACAGAATGACAGAGAACTTTGGCATGTTTAGTGACAGCCATTTTGTTCGGCTATATTTTTTTAATCATTCCATTCCGAATTGTTTTCCTTGCCCGAATTGTTTTCCCAGTTTATCTGAGGAATAAACTAATGAGGAAAGTAACTACCAAATGTGCATTATCACAAGAATAATGATGCTGAAGCATCAAGAATAAGTATATTTTGCTGGAGATTAAGCATTTAGAGTAGCTACAGATAATTTGGAATTAAACTTTTTATTGAAAGAATTTATCTTTTTACCTTGCTACATACAAATACGTTCCATGACGGAGATTTAAAAGAATTTCTCATTGTTGACATTTAGGTGTCACAAAATATATAAAAAAGAGGCCGGCAAAAAAGTTCACAATTTACCAAATCTTCACAAAAATCACTCACAATAATTCACAAGAATGGTATTGCATGGCTAATCACATTTTTATTTATTAATTTTTACAAAATTAATATGTAAATTAAATCAATAAATATTATACTCTTTATAGAATTAGACAAATCTTTTTAATATATACCGGATATTGATGCCCTTTAACGTTAAGGTAAAATTTTTTTTATTTTTTCAAAGGACACAAATATGGAATTTTTATTTTATTTTTAAAATTTATTTTTGTTTTATATTATTTTTATAAAAATTTTCTTTCAAAACATAAAAGATACAAAAAAGATGCTGGCAAAATCAGGGCGGGAATTTAGTGAATCAGTTGGGGAATTTTTGCAACATCACATTTTTTTAGAATTTTTAAAGATTTTTTTGTATTTTCTAAACTTTTGTTTGTTTTTTTTGTGTTTTAATTTTTTGAATTTTTAAAATTTTTAAAATTTTTTAATTTGTTTTTGTAGATTTTTTATTTTTTTAAGGATTTTTTTGAATTTTTCTTTTTATATTACTCATTCAATTGAGTAAAATTTGTAATAAAAAATTAAAAAAAAATAATAAAAAATTTTTGTAACTAGACATTTCGGTTTTTGTAACTATCTTTTATCGGTTCTAAAGCAAAACCCATATCAATTTTTCTCAAATTCTGGTTTATTTGATCAGCATCTGGATGAAAAATAATGTTCAGTTCATGACCACATGTTGGACATGCTTGATGACTTCCAGATGTGCCCATTTGTAAAAACATACAACTTCGATGGAAGAAGTGATATAAGGGTTCATTCTCACATTTACTTGTTTCAATAAAATCATCATTTTGAAACATATGTTCTAAGTTATAAACCCCATTACAGATTGGACATCCTTGTTGTCCAGTTTCATTAGCTGCATTTATTGTAATCTGCATCATTTCTATCTATTACAAGATTAAATTTAAAAAACGCTTTTTTCTTCAGCAGTTTCCAGCCATATTGGAGTGTCCGCTCCCTCATCAATACTTAAAGGGCCTTTGTGGCTAGTCATGTCTGTATCGACATATCCTGGGCAACAATTTAAAAATTTTAAATAATTTAATAGAAATTTGAAATAATTTTTTTGTGCTGGTCTAGCTTATGCGTCCATTGAACTTTTTTAAAAATTATTTAAAGTCATCTTTGTAAAAATGTGATGTTGCAAAATTATGGTTTCACAACCGTGCATTAAGCTAGAAGACAGCTAAAATTCCTCAACTAATTCACTAAATTTCCCCCCCCCCCTCTGATTTTGCCAGCATCTTTTTTGTATCTTTTATGTTCTGAAAGTTAATTTTTATAAAAATAAAATAAAACAAAAATAAATTTTAAAAATAAAATAAAAATTCAATATTTTGTCCTTTGAAAAAATAAAAAAAATTTTATTTTAACGTTAAAGGGCACCAATATCCGGTATATATTAAAAAGATTTGTCTAATTCTGTAAAGGGTACAATATTTATTGATTTAATATTCATATTAATTTTGTAAAAATTAATAAATAAAAATGTGATTAGCCACGCAATACCATTCATGTGAATTATTGTGAGTGATTTTTGTGAAGATTTGGTAAATTGTGAACTTTTTTGCCGGCCTCTTTTTTATATATTTTGTGACACCTAAATGTCAACAATGAGAAATTCTTTTAAATCTCCGCCATAAAACTTATTTGTATGTAGCAAGGTAAAAAGATAAATTCTTTCAATCAAAAGTTTAATTCCAAATTATTTCTAAATGCTTAATCTCCAGCAAAATATACTTATTCTTGATGCTTCAGCATCATTATTCTTGTGATAATGCACATTTGGTAGTTACTTTCCTCATTAGTTTATTCCTCGAATAAACTAAAGAAAACAATCCGGTCAGGGAAAATTCGGAATGAAATGATTGAAAAAATATAGCTGAACAAAATGGCTGTTACTAAACATGCCAAAGTTCTCTGTCATTCTGTTAAAATTGTTAAATGATTGCCTATTTCTTTGAGTAACGGGTACAATATTCATTGATTTGATTTTCTTAATACATAATTTAAAAAATAATAAAAAAATGTGATCAGCTACACAAACATCAGTTTTGTGAATTCTTGTGAAATTTTGAATGGTGTAAACGCCTTTGCCCGCCTACTTTTGATAATGTATTTAAGGTTTTCTTCTTTTTGAACATTTTACATTTTGTATTTTTATAGTGCAATTTAGAGACCGGCGCGGGATTTTGCGGTGTCCCGCTCCCGCAATACCGCACTTTTTTCGATTTGCGGGATTTTGCGCGTTTCAACGATTTTTGAAAAATCCCGCAATCAATTGCTAGATCCCGCAAATTTAAAATGCGAGATTTTGTGGGAATGCGGGATTTTGCAGGATTTATCCTCGGGATCCCGTCCCGCACAGATTTTAAAAAAATTTTTAACCGCGGGATCCCGCAAACACGATTTTGCCGGTCACTAGAGTAAATACATTCGAAACCCTTGAAAAATTGTATATATTTTTGCTGAACAATCGATTATTATTTCTAAAATAGGTAAAAAAACTCCAATTTTGAAATAGAATTCTTTTATATGGGAAACTTGTAAAAATCCATAATTAAATGTTAAATATGATCTTTAGACTTTTTTGAAAAATTAAAAAAAAATTAAAATTTTTAATAAAATTTAAAATTTTTAATTTTTTTCTTCGTCCCTCAATTAATATATTAAAAATCAATAATTATTTGTCGGCTATTATTATAAACATAGCTATATAATAATATGTACTATATGTAAACAGTTTTAAATTTACATTTTTTTCAATTATTTTCCATTAAATTATGAAAATTTATGTTATTATTTTTTAATTTAATAACACCGAATTCTTTAATATTGCGAAAAATTCATAAAAGTTATTTGAATGTGATTTGGTACTATGTCTAAAACTTTACATTTTTAACGTAATTAGTACAATTTCAATTATATCGTGAATTCTACACGAGCATTAAAACACAATAAAACACAATGATCAAAACAATCTTAAACTTAAAAATTTATAAAAATCGAATGATAAAATATCAGCAAAAATTTTCAGGATAAAAATGAAATTAAAAATCTTAGTAATCATTTCAACTTTTATAATCTTATTTAATGATTTTTACTTGATAAAAAGTATGAATCATGGAAAAAGAAAGAATAATTATAAAGGTGATTCATTTAAATTTTCGGGGTCGATATAGTATATGTCCACGTGGTTTTTTCCGCGTAGACCAGAGTATATTTCCGACTAGAAATTTTTCCAAAATTTTTAAAATTTTGGTCCCATAATATCTCCCTCATCTCTCTCAATTAACAAATATTCTCTCAATCCCACAATATCTCTCTCATTTTTTGGGTGCCGGAATATTCGTCTCTGGAACTTTCGTCTCCAAAACTTTTTTGGAACTTTCGTCTCCAACATTTTCGGAATTTTCGTCTCCAGCGGAATATTCGTCACCAAAGAAATAAACGGAATATTGTCTCCGCAATTTTCGTCTCCGCTAGGAATTTTCGTCTCCAGATGAAAATTTACCCGTCGACGGAACAACCTCCCCCGTTGACGGGACACTATCCCCCTTTGACGGAACAACTTCGCCCTTGACGGAACAACTTCCCCCGTTGACGTGACACTATCCCCCTTTGACGGAACAACTTCGCCCTTGACGGAACAACTTCCCCCGCTGACGTGACACTATCTCTCGTTGACGGAACAACTTCCCCCGTTGACGGAACAACTTCGCCCTTGACGGAACACTTGACGTAACACTATCCCGCGTTGAGTTCCGAAAAGTCTTGGAGACGAAAGTTCCAGAGACGAAAATTCCGTACTTCCATTTTTTGCCTCCGGCGCAAAAAATCAAGACATCTGGTGACTTTATCTTCCAAAATACTCAAAATTTTCGCCTTCGGCGCAGAAAAAGGAGAAGTCAGCTGAAAATTGAAGAAATAAAATCCATCGATACTATTAATCTTTTGATATTCCTGCACCATGAAAACCTACTGACCCTGAAGACCTACACTCTGAAGACCTATTTACCCTAAAGCCAACAACTTTTAATCAACACTTATTTTACTTTATTTCTTTAAAAGTTTAATCGGGAAATTTAAAGGAGGTAAAGAGAGGAGGACTAGGAGTGATTAAGGGAGATATTGATGGATTTGAAGATTTAAAGGGGATAAAGAAGGATTAAAGATTCCATTAATCCCTAAAAGTCTCTTTTTCCCCTTTAATCCCTCAAACTCATCGATTAAAATGTAATGAAATAACAGATAAAAATTCGAGTTGATCAGTAATTTATAGGTCTTCAGGATAAATAAATCGGATATAGTATAGTATACCGGAGGCAAAATTTTTATACAAAATACATACCATTCGATTAGTCTCGGCGAGCTGAGTCGAATGTTACCACTCTCTATTCACGGAACTGCCAGTGAACCGAAATATAGGTACCCGAACTCGAAAAACCAAAGGGGAAGTGGCACATTTTTGGGGTGAAAAATTCGATTAGCAAATAATAGCTCATTCGAAAGAGCTCCTCGAGCTCTTCGCTGTGTTCTGGGCTCGTAACATAAACCTATTCCTATCTCCCCTGCTCTGGGCATTGATGGAGCCTCCGTAGCAGCAAAAACTCCACAGATGCCATAGGTAAGGAGCTAAAATAAAAGATCATAACTTTGTTAAATCAAGTCGGATTTCGTTGATTTTTGTGTCATTCGACTCAGCTCGACGAGCTCTTTCGAATGAGTTATAATTTGCATTTTGCAATTGTTGCAATAATTTGCAATTGTTGCAATAATTGCAATATGCATTTTCGAATTTTTCACCCCAAAAATATGCTTACTCCTCTCTTTAGTTTTTCGATTTCAAGGACCTATATCTCGGTTCACAGGCATTTCCGTGAATAGAGAGTGGTACCATTCGACTCAACGCGCCGACACAAATAGAACAGTATGTATTTTGTATAAAAATTTTGCCTCCGGTATACTATACTACAGCCAATTAATCTTTGGGGTGTACGTCTTCAGGATCAGTAGGCCTACACGGTGAGGTCCTCTGGGTGTAGGTCTTGGGGGCTTTTACAGCCTTTGATTTGACATTAACAAAATTATTTATTAATTTATTTCAAGATGTATCAACTTCAAATGTTAAACAAGAAGCTTGCAACCTTTCAGTAGGTCAATTAAACAAAACTGTACAATTAACAGGGATTGATGGAAATAAAATGAAATTGATATATACTACAGAAGATGTAGGTGAAATCGGACATGGATCAGATGGCATAGCAAGTTTTTTAATAATGAAATTAAATTATCTAAGCTTATAAAATTTCAAATGAAAAAATATGTTTAAAATTTTTTAATATTGAAACTTTTGCAGATTGTCTTTTTTAGCTAAGACTTAGCGTTTTTCATTTATTCAATTTTATATTTAATGTTATTTCAATATTTAATTTATTATTTAAATATGTTTTCTAGGTTTATCACGCACATTGGATTGGTGAAAATACCACTACTTGTGTGGCCTTAAAAATAAATTATTCAGAATCTCTTTATAAAAATGAACTTGAAGTTTTAAAATTTTTTAATGGGATTAATGATTCTGAAAGAAATCATATAATTAAAATGCTTGGACAGTGAGTATTGATTAATTATGAATATCTTTCATAGCCTAATTGTAAAAACTAATTTTATGATAATATATATTAATGTCAAACTAACCCTCTGAGAGGTTAGTTAAAACTGTCAAAAATTAAGCGTCGTCTCTTGCTTTTTTTCCATTATAAATATTTTTTAGTGGTGAGCAAAATGGAGATTTATTTCTTGCTTTAGAACTTGGGGGAAAGGATATAACAGATTATTATAAAATAGTTGCTAATGAGGAATCCAATGAGGAAAT